CTGTGGGTGGGCTCTTCACTTTCTTGACAAATTTCTTTAATGTACAAAAGTGTTTAATTTTGATGAAGTTCAATTAATCTAGTTTGTCACATATGCTTTTGATAGTATATCTAAATAACCATTGTCAAAAACTAGTCTTCAAGCTTTACCTCTATGTTTTCTTCTAATAGTTTTTTGTCATAGTTTTAAAAAACGTAACCCCCACCCCATAAATGTGGTTCTATTTATCTCCTTCCTTCCATTCTTCAGCCTCCTCCCACTAAAATTTCCTATCCCTCCCCTCTTCCTGCCCCTGCCCCAGTTCCTGGCCTCCTCAGAGCCATTTAAGTGAGATGTCAGCTAAGTCCACATGGAAGAGCAACACCATCATCAGTCACCATAGGTTTGTGAAACATATAATTCAAAGTCGAAGGAGGAATTAGCATCAGAGTCTAAATTGTGAGAATCCGGTTTGCAGAAGGCGATGGAAGACAGTGGGAGCCCAAGATTTATTTGTGGGATCTACATAGTATACAAACTTCCAATGAACTCCCTCTATCTTCAGTTGAGGGAAGGAAGGAAAGTGGCTACTAAACAGAGTGGAGAGATGACTGTAGAAGATCAAAGGCATAAATCTGACTTGAACAGTTAACACTTTGTCAGATGATCCTCCCTCTGATGCATGCTGCACTTGATTTAGTTTCAACATGTTCTGTATTTTTGTTTTGTTTTGTTTGTTCATATCTCAGAGGTGTAATGTCATTGGGGGTCAACCTCTTGCAGTTGTGTTACATGTTTTCTGTGTTTTGGAATATGAAATGCAGGATTGCAAGGGACAGCAAATAGAATAATGGTTTCAGAGGTGGGGACAAAAGGGTGAGGGGTGGGTTAAGAGGGAGATGACTTCAAGGAGTCCAGGAAGAAAATTAATGCTTGGAAACTGATTGTGGTAGAAATTACGCAATTCTGTTTAATGTGATTGAACTCCAAATTAATAATAAATTAAAAAATAAAATAAACATAAATAGTGGTGTCATTAAAGATTTATCTTGATAAGATTGATTAACTTTGCTAACAATAATGGTCTCTAGTTTTGTCCATGTCTTTCGGTGTTTAAGAGTCATCATCATTTTTTATGGGTGCATAATATTCCATTGTATGAATGTACTTAAGTTTGTTTATCTATAATCAGAGCTTTTGGTTGTTTCCATGTTCTTGCTGTTATAGAAATTTTTAAAATACACATAGGTGTGCATATGTTTGTTCATGTTGTGTTACTTATTTCTTTAGGGTATATACTGGTTTTAATTTTTATATCTAAGTCATAAATCAATTTTGAGTTAATTTTCATGTTTGATGTAAAGTATGGAGTCTTCATCACTCTTTAGCAAGTAGAGATCCTGTTGTCCTGCACTATTTGTTCATGAAACTATTATTTCCCCATAAAAAGAATGTGGCACCTTTTAAGGAAATCAATTAACCATAGATGAGTGGATATACTTCTGGATTCTCAGTTCTAATCCATTAGTCTATACGTTTATCTTTATGTCTTATGACTACTGTTAGCTTTGTAGTGTGATTTTCCTCTTATTTCCTTGTTTTGCTTTTGCTTTTCATAATTGCTTTGGCTATTCAAGGTCCCCTACATTTCCACATAAATTTAAGGATTGTTATTTCTACTTCTACAAAGAAGACTGTTGGAAAGTTGGGATTGTGTTGAATGTGTAGCTCTCTGAGGGGAGTATTGATATCTTAATAATATTAACTTTTCCACTTCATGGATACAGGATGTCTTTTGATTTATTCAGGTCTTTAATTTCTTTCAACAAAATTTTATCACTTTCATTGCACAAATCTTTGATCTTCCTGGTTAAAATTATTTCTAGACACTTTCTTATTTTACCTACAATTATAAAATGAATTGTTTTATCAATTTCCTTTTCAGATTGTTCATTGCTGGTGTATAGATGCATAACTGATTTTTGTGGGTTGATTTGTGTCCTAATACTTTGCTAAATTCATTTATTAGCTCTAGTGGCTTTCTTATTTACTCTTTGGATTTTTTATATACAAAGTCATATCATGAGGGAAATAGGGTAATTTTACCTCTTTTTTATAAATTTTAATTTACTTCTATTGCTTGCCTAATTCCTCTGTCTAATATCTTCACTACAATATTGAATAATAGTAGTGACAATAAGCATCCTTGTCTTGTTCATGAGCTTAGGAGGAAACTTTTCTCTATTGAATACAATGTTTTCTGTGTAGATTATTACCTTGTTTTTCCACATGTGTACATTTTTTCACAGCTTAACATGATATTCTGTAGTAACACACACATATTTGCAGTTACTTTACTGTGTACTAAGGCATGGTTATTTCTAATTTTCATGCTGACATTTAACAGTTGAGGAAACTGTGTTTAGGAAGATTAATACAGATTAATAAGCTCATGTAAGACTACAAAACTACAGAAGCCTGCTTGATTTAAAAACTCAATCCCATTTTACTCTAGTGGCTCATACCTAACTAGCGTTGTACATTTAAATGAACTAGAGGGAATCTAAAAAGGAGATGTATTTAATTTTTAATCAAAGAAAAAAATATATATATGTAGTTCAAAAAAACCAGCAGCGTTTACTTGCCTCTTGTCTACCCAATTTCTGATTTTCTCTCTCCAGACAACCAATTTGAACTCTCAACTGCTTATCAGTTATCTCTGTTTTCATGAATACCGTGTTTCCATTGCTTTCTTGACTTTCCTGTAGTGGGTCTCAATGGACTCTCCATTACACAGAGCCCTCAGTGGTTAAAGAAATAAACCTGGTGCGGGTAAGTCTATTCCCACTTAGAGTGACTCTACAGGACAAAGTCCATTGCCCCATTGTGTCTCCACAGCAACAAGCTTTACAGAAGCCGAATGCCACTTCTTTCCCCACACCAGGGGATGGTGGTGACTCCGTCAGCAACCACAGCCTTGCATTTGACCACTGCATCACCAGGGTGCCTCCTTGTTGACCTACTTAGAAGTAAGGATTGACCATGGCAACTGCAACAATGGGATCAAGAATCAAGGGTTGTGAAGAGGGAGTAAGCAAGACCTGGCAGTGTTTCTTCTGTTGTACACAGGGTGGCTGAATTAGAACTGACTTCATGGCAGATCACAACAACAATAGGACTAAGTTTATTATTATTATTATTATTATTATTTTTTTACAAAACTGAAATAGGGTGGATTAAGTTGAAATTTGAGCTTGAATTACCCAAGCTTCAGTTTGGCCAACAGGCTAGAGACCAGATCTGAATTACTACTGTTTCACAGGTCTACCTGAATCTCCCTTCAAAAAAATTTCTATAGGAAAATGTACTTTTGAGGTCAAGAAAATGCTATCTATCTATCTATCATCTATCTATTTGACAAAAGACTCCTTACATTTAAAAATGAGTATTTATAGAAAAAGTGTGGTTTTAACAAATTCTAAAATGCCAACATAGGACCAATTCCACATGGCACAAAACATATAGGAGTACTTCCGGAGAATAGCAAATGATTACTTAATATATCTCTTCCCACTCTGAAAAAAAAAGAAGAATGTGGACACAATGACATGCTACATATCCTGTGAAAACCAATACGTGCTAATACCAGACAAGACATCAAAACTTCAAAGAGGGCTAGTATCAGGAAGCCATGAAATGGCAGACTCAGAACTCAGAAGTACCTACAGAGAAACACCCCATAAGGATTTCTCAAACTTACCCAGTACCCAAAAAGACTGGGGATTTTTTTCAAAGCTAATGTTTACAAATTTTTCTACAAAGCAACCTCAACACCTTCAAAGTACTCTCCATTTCACTTAATACATTTGTCCAATCTGTGATTCCATTCTTGGAAACATTTTACAATCTCATCTGTTTGGATGGCTGACAGCACCTCCCTTGTTTTTTTCTTCACCTCTTCTATGTCATCAAATCGTTGTTCTTTCATGTCCCTCATCATTTGTGGAAACAAAAAGAAGTCACGTAGGGCGAGGTCAGGTGAGTAAGGTGCATAAGGCAAGAGAGAATGCTGTTTTGTGCCCCAAACTGGCACAATGAGGACTATGTCAGCAGGTGTATTGTCATGGTGGCAAAACCAGTTCCCTGTCTGCCACAAATCAGGCTTTTTTTTTGTCATACACATTTAAGCAATCTTTTCAGAACCCCTAAATAAAAAGCTTGATTGAGAGTGTGACCTGGTGGAATGAACTTCAAATGTACTATGAGTCGAGATTTTTGTTCATTTGGGAAGTTGACAGGCATCCAGGATGTCCACTCTGCCCCAGCACAATTGTGGTGTTTTTTATGGCTACCACTGGTATATGTAGTTCTAAAATAAAAAAAAAAGCCATGTTTTACATCTTTGCAGGATGTAGGGGCCATTTAATTTTTCTCAAGCACAAATATTTAAATTTTTGTATGTAGAGGATTAGCATGCAAAAGGAGAAGAAAAAGATCCTCAATATTATGCAGAAAGAAAGCAAAGTTACAAGTACCAACCTTGACAGGAAAATCCTTACTATGCATACCTACTTGCTTATCCTCACATCGAAGTAAACAGTTAAAAAAATGGCAGCTTAAGAAAGTTCCTGACCTCGCCCTACGTGACTCTTATTTTTAAGGGTATATACATGGAGAACATTTAGTTATATTATGAAATAAATACAGCACTGTAAGATAAAGGAAGACCATTACAAATGGAGTTTCAGCCTTTCTGCCCCTACGCACTACAACGATCTTTAACCACTGAACAGAATCTAAACAGTTAGGGAAGGATCTTTAGTCTCCTAGTCATTTCACATTTCAGGTTGCTCAGCAGATACCTGTGATTCTGAGGGCTCAAATCACTGGTGGGAGTTTGTTCTGTATCCTCAGCTTTTTAGAAGCTTTTCTCCATAAAAATGATCTGTGTGAAGTGCCTTCTACCTTCCTCATCCAAAAGAACGAGATTCAAAAATTTCCTTACTGATTTTTTTTTATTACAGGGGAGAGCATGCACACAGTCCCCCACCACCATGAATTATGCAGTCGAGTCTCCCACATTTGGGGAAATTGCAGGGGTCAGCACACCCTGAGTGCATTGGATCAACCTCGCCCTTGGAAAACCACCTTCATAATCATGGTGTCTCCCCTGCCAGGTAAGTATCCTTACTGAATTTTTTTGTTTACATCTCTCATTGTTGGAGTTGGCTCATACCCCATGAAAAATAGTCTTAATTCATATTTTACTGGTGCGCCATCCATTATGTCATATTTGGCAGTGGTCTCTGTTTCTGTTCTGGTAATGGGTCTGATTCCTATGATCTCTTTTTGATACACTGTAACTCCACATGTTGGATTTTTTATTCTTACTAATGAATAAAAATTTCCAACACACACATACTTTAAGTGATACTTTGATTTCTATTCCAATTCCACATGTAGGCAATCTTCAATGCCATCTTAATAGAGTTGTTAACATCAGGACAGGTGGCAACCTGGTGTACAATAAGATCATATTCTTTTACCAATCTGCCAGTCTTCTTACTTTTGTCATCTTAAGGAAATACTTCAAGTGAACATTGGTACCAATGTAAGACTCAGATGGCCCTACAACTTGCATGAATTCAAAATCATCACTTCTGCTCTGAGTCAATTCTTCAGGTAAAGCCAGATCTTTCATTCAGTTTACACATCCGTGACTATTATGTTTATCATTGGAAAGCTCAATTTGACCTAAAAATTCAGTTCTGAATCCTTGGTGGTCTAGCCTCTTTCCAGGCTGCTTGAAGGGGAGGCTTACCTTTTCTGAAATGGACTCTCCGTCATAGAAGAAGTGGTCTTTTTCTACTTTGCCGTCTTCGCTCTTCATTTCTGCCATTGTCTGGGCTTCCCCATCAGTAAGGACAATGTTGATCTCACAAAGGGGACCAAAATAGCCTCCAAGGAACTCCTTCCCCCACCCCCACTTCCCTTTTGATCATTTAGAGAGCTTTGAAGATGTTAGACGCTCAATAACTTCTAACAGAATTAAATTGGAGGTTTTCAAGCATTATTTTCTTAAAGGATCAAAATACATAATGGTGGTCTGGAGCAATTAACTTTGTTCCCTGTGAGATTGTTGTCAAACTAACAATTGACTAAAACACTTGGTAAAAATCACAAGAGAAAGGTGGGTAAGAATGGTAAAGAAGATCTCTGTTTCCCTCTTGAGTGTCCCAGTGTGGGCACCATGACTACCTCTAATTTCCATTGGAGAGCCAGCCAGTACTGTGCATCATTTCAGACACATGTGGGCTACCAGAAAATGGACCAGACTCCAAATTGGAAGATGAATTCTGGCTTAGATTCTATTTAGCAGAAGCCTCTGGAATAGTTGCTTTTTTCGTTCAGCTTACTTCCACACCTGTAAAATCATGGTTGCAGTAAGAACTTATCAACCCACTGAAATGTGTGTAGGATAAAGTAATGTACCAGGCCAAAAAAAAATGCTTCAAGTTACTTAGAAGGAAGAAAAATCATCATATTTACCCTTCAAAATGCTTCAGGATGACTATGATACTTACTCCTAGATTCCTTTTACATCCTTAGCTTACCTCTATCACAGCCTCATTGCTTGTTTTTAAATTATGTATGTACTTGTTAATATCTACTACTAAATTGTGAGCTCTTTGAAGGAAGATGAACTGCCTCTTTTGCTCTTATTCCTAGGACCTAATAAAGTGAATGATACCCAGTAAGTGTTCCAAAAATCCTAGCTGAGTGAATTGCCTACGCAGGAATCTACCACATCCTTCTGATTTCCCTACAGTCTGAATTACCACCAGAAGAATAATTAGAGTTGTAGAAGCCTGAGGACCAGGTTATTTTTCATTGCATTTGAAGTATTCTTGCTTTCTTCATTTTGCAACCTCCAGGGCACCCAGCGGATGGACTTGACGGTAGTTTCCGACTTGGAGATCAAGCAGAAAAGGTCTTGTCAATTGATCGTGGGAGGACATTTTTTCTTGGTGAATAGGCAAAAAGCTGAGAGTGTTTCACTTTAAAAACAAACAGAATTGACGATGTTGATTGTGAAACAAATCTGATGGAGTGAGTGCCCTTTTTGGTCTTTAGGCAAAAGTACCCCAGGAGAGGACTGTGCATCTAATTCAGAGATTTAATAATTCCCTGATAGATCCTCCTAATGAATGCTAGAGATTTATTTTGGGAGGAGAAAAGATTTGGTTTTTTTGTTTGTTTTCATGTTGTTGTTGGGTTTTTTTTTTTAAGCAGTAGTTACAAGCATAGTGATTGGATTTTGTGAAAGATTCTGGATAATAGAAATTTTGGTTAAAACAAAAGAATTGTCATCTCATCATCCCATCAACACACATTACTTGTGTGGCAGGCATTCATTGGGAAGCATCACTCAGATCCTCTTTCAATGCAGGACTCATTGTACCAGGTAGGAATCCCTGGCTGGACAGATAACATACTCAGCTGCTGACTCCAAAGTTGGAGGTTTGAGTCCACCCACCCAGAGACTATTCAGAAGAAAGCCTTGGGGATCAACTTCCAAAAAAATCAACCAATGAAAAGCTTATGGAACACCGTTCTACACTGACACACATGGGGGTTTTATGAGACAGAATCAATCTGATGGCTTCTTTTTTTGTTTTAGTGCTAGGTGTCGGCAGTGTGGCAGTGGATGCCATCAGCTTCAGAGGGTTGCCTTATCTGGAATCATGCCCTGTCCTAGGGCACCCCACATACAACGACTGACTAATTTTGGAAAATATAAAGACTTGGCCATCATGACCCAATGTGGACCACCATGCGTCTGAGGTTATTGTTAGCTCAGAGCTCCTTATGGAGTTGGCTGTTGTTGGACCTCTTTACAGCTTGGTTTCTCTCTTGGACCAGCCCTGCTCTCTCCCTTTCTGCTCTAGAGTGCTGATTTCAGAACACACCTTGATAAACACCCTACTGACTTACATTCGACTCAGAGTCTGCTTCCTGAGGAAATAAACCTTCAAAGAAGTCCTTTTCAAATGCCACTGTGGACGGGTTTTGAATCTAGACTATAGGTGTGTATGTACTATTTTGAACTTTAGATAGAATTATATATGGTATATACCCACATCTTATATGGTATATGCCAAACCTTAATACATATTTAGTAAATATTTAAGATCCTGTCATTGAATTAACCCTTAAATTGTATTTGAAGGCCATGTATCTGAAGACAGCTCACCTTGGTGATATCCTTCTGCAATATGCATTGGTTGCAGAAGGTGACCTTCCCAGTAAAGACAGCGTAGTGCTCCAATTAGTGTGTATAGATTCCTGACATTAGAATCTGATGCCAACGCACTCAGCTAGCTAGTGAGTGAGCTAGAATTAGAAGTAGTGTCCCTGTTCTCAGTTCAGGTCACTTTGCACAACTTTTCTGCTGAGTGCAGGTGCCGTGTTTTCAACAGACTGGCCTGTGAGGCAGGAACTGAGCGCTAATATTGAAGAAAATGTTTCTGGAAAACAAAATGTTTAATTGCTAAAAAAAAAAAGAAAAGAAAATGTCAGGATTTATGTCTCCTGTTAGATGGTCAAATCCAGCATTTCATGTTGATTTGAAATCAGCAGCGATCCGATCCTAGGCCAGCAGACACGGGCAAATTTTGTTTTTTTGGGTTTTATTTTTTTCTGTTCCAGAGAGTGTCCTGGCTGAGATTTACTGAGCAGGCCAACCCACTCCAAACCTGTTTCTCTGGAAAGGTAAGAGGTAGGCTGAAGTTACGGGATCCATCACTCCTTTTTGCAATTGGTAATGCCAAATGCAGTGGAGGTCTGACAGATTGTATAAAAAATTGTTCACAATTTGTGGGAAAAGAACTGAGCTGAAAGTCAGACACTTTTTTCCTGATTCCAGTTCATCCTCTAGCCATTATGTCACAGGACAAAATAGTTCATTTATTTATAAAATATAAAATTCTTTTATAGACAAGATGGCATTGAATTAGATGCTCTTCAAGGTCTTTATGACCAAGAATTGTAGTAGGGGCCTTTCATGGAATTTTTTGAAAATGGTCATTGTATCTTATTTTCATGAGATAAAGGGGTGCTTTAGTTATTAAAGCATATAATATCTTTGAGGTTAGGCATCTAGTCTTCCATATTATCCCATTTCACTAAATCCCAATAAACACTACTTTAGTACTTGACGAACTCAATACTTTACTTACTATAAAATGTGTAGCAATTCATTCTAACACACTGGATGAAGGCAAGGAGTCATAAGTCTACTAATACTGCTCATATTTCTAAATTAGAAATAAAACTCTGAACTAAAGCTTTGAACCTTGAACTCTACAAAATTGAGGGTAGCCAATTTTAATACAAGTGATTATATAGGGGTTTACAGTTTCAGATTATGTTGCCATATATTGTTAAATTCTCAAACTATTCTGTGTATGAGGTCTAATTAATATTTTAATTATAAAAGTGAAGTAAATGATCTCTATGTATTCTTGCTTGTACTTCCTTGGCCACAGCATCATTGCCTGTAAAGACAGATCATTGTTACAAGGTAATGGAAGGAGAATGCCTGTCAATGGTCACCTTGGAATGATCTTTTTAGAATAGAAACTCAGAAATGTATTTTTAAAGTATTTTTTTTAGGAATGGGTTTTTAGGTACATATGTTTTTGTGACTGTTAATCCATACTGACAAATTGTTTTTCTAACTGGATACACTGACTCATAATGCCACTAAGCATATGTCAGCATGCCCATTTTTTTTGCTCAATCCATATGAGAAATGACTGGGTAAAGGGTTCAGGGACATTAAATGATTGATATACAGCTAGTTGGTGTGTTATAGTCTCCTGACTTCAGGTCCTCTTTTGTCCCCAAATTTATGAAGATTACAGCATTGCTTAGATTCTCTTGCTCTCTCTTCCTATCTCTTTTTTCTTTCATCTTTTGTATTTTCTTTTCTGCCTTATTCATTGAGATACCACAATATGCCAGACACTGAATACATACAAATGTAAGACGTTATCTTTTGGGAGCATTTTTCAATGTCTTGAAATGTTTTCCTCATGTACTATTTGGGACACTAATCTCTCCTAGCGTAGTAACCCTTCATAGGTCAAATGGATGGGTAGGAGAATGAATCAGAATAGGGTA